TTTCCATATATATTCAAACAAATGGTTTGGTTGAAATGTAATATATATTCTTTATTATATAAATGTATCAAAAATATAAATTCATCTCCCCTTGTACGTCTCCTGAATAGTTTTATACAATTTTTATAGGCGTGGCATTCGATTTTACCCTATTTTCAAAAAAAAAATGAATATTCTCTTTCCATATATATTCAAACAAATGGTTTGGTTGAAATGTAATATATAATCTTTTTTATATAAATGTATCAAAAATTGTCTAACCGCGGTGAACTTTTCACTGTAAACATAAGAATTGTTTTTTGAGCACTTTGCAATTTGCACTTTTTCCCCCAATTTTTGATTGGAATTTCAAAAGTTGGGCCAATAATCGTAGGTGTATATGAGTAGGGCGAGTATGAATTATATACTTTCAACTGTTGTCTATACAATCGCAAATATAGATATGTAATCGTGATATGTTGTCGTCTTTCACCTCTTTATTTATCTAAAGTTATTAATTAATTGGATTTTATAAAGTTTACTTACTTTTGTGTTATTTTCTTTGCAATAAAGATTCAAATTTTGTTCTCGGAAATGCACAAGCTAATGGCAATCCGATTGTATATTGTTCGGATGGCTTCGTGGACTTGACAGGATATTCGCGTGCGCAAATTATGCAAAAAGGTATTTACTTTTTCGTATTTTAGTTTACACAAACTTTTGCTTTTATTTGAGTTTTGCTTAATTAACAGCTTGAAATTAAACTTTAATAAAAAAATCTCATAGGATGCTCTTGTCACTTTTTGTATGGGCCGGAAACGAAGGAAGAGCACAAGCAGCAAATAGAGAAGAGTCTATTGGGTAAAACTGAACTAAAATTGGAGGTCATTTTCTATAAAAAAGACGGTAAGTAAACATTTTATACAAATACAATATAAACATAGTAAATACGTTTACGGCTTACTCTCTTCGCATTCTCTCTCTCTCTCTCTCTCCCGCACTCTTCACTGAGTTACTAGAATAACAATTCAATTCGAATTGTGCTTATAGTTGCAATGTGTGAATGTTTTCCGCGCTAATCAATTTTGTGGCCAATATGTATATTTTGTAGGTGCTACGAGAACTTTTACTAAAATCAATCGTAATTAGTTTTCAGCATAAAAATGAATTCATTGTAATTTTCAAATTTTGTTCTTTAATAACAAGAAAATTACCTCACGTTAAGTTACTCTTAGCTCATTTTAATTAACCTTACTACTTTCACGGGTTCTTTTAATTAAAAGTTATAAATTGATTTCATTAAAGTGATAGCAGCGGTTTAGAAAGAGAAAAGTTTATTAATTAGAAAAGTGAAGTGGGCTTAGCTACGCTCATGATACAGTCTACCTGTTGCATATGTTAAATACATGCAATACGTGAATGCATGTAAACGGACTATGTATACATACTTTGCATTAGAACGAATAATCCAGTCGATTGAAGTGTGTCTGTCCATATATCCATATATACCGTCGAACTTACAATAACGATTTTAAACGTATTTATAAGGCAATTAATTTTATCTTACGGCTTTTCAATATCATTAGGTTACTCTTAGTCGCCTCACAAAGGATCTCGACTAGTAACTTAAAAGTTGTGGGTTCGAATCTCCAGTGCGGTAGACTTTGGAACAAAACCGATAATCGTAGATGCTAGTGTTTTAACACTTTTATGTTAACTCTTACGAGTTTATTGCTCCGGCAAAGCTAATAAAAATGATAGGAACAGACACAGTACGCAGATTAAGCTTGAAAATCAGTTAAATCGTTCTATAGGTTTCTTTTGCTGCTAGCATCAATTTTGAAAATTTCCCATACCTTATTGCATTTGCAAGATTACTTTATATAATATATTATTGTTATTACGCGTCGACAGGTAAGCGCATCATGAATCCGTAATTGGGTTCTACTATTTTTGGTTTCTTAGAATATCGGTTAGTTTCCAAGCAGACTCATTTTAGGAAATATGAAATTTAGTTTATAT